CCACCACCCTACTACGGCCTGCAAATGCCCAAACCGGGATCTCATTGCTAGGTGCACTCAGACAGCGTCTGTTCCGGACGGCTAATTCACTAAGCGTGTCTTCAAGGCCTGCTGTGTCAGCACCTACCCTAACCCAGCCACTCGCGTGGCTGAGCAAAACCCCACTGCGGGGACACATTACTACATCCTGTTCCTCCACCCATCTGTGGACGGGCCTCAGACTGTTCCACCTCTGGCTCTTGTGAATAATCCTGTACTTCGGCATAAACCCGGCTGTGGATGTCTGCTTGGGCCCCGCTTTCACTTCTCCTGGGTCTGCACCCAGCCACAGAGGCTGCACCCTATGGTACTGTAGTTCTGCGTTTGCTGGAGGAGCAGCCAAGCCGCTGACCACAGCGGCTGCCTGCCTCTGTGAATGAGCTTCCTTCCACAGGGACAGCTCCCCGATCTGTTTACACACGGGGTGGGGCACAAGGGCAGCCCTGCCGGAGGACTGCCAGCCCCGGCGAGGTCACCCTCCTGGCGCAGCCGTGTGCTTAGAGGAGAATCGCAGAGGGGCAGTCTGCGTCAGGCAGGGTCGAAGTCCCAGCGTGCACTCAGGGAAGAGACGAAATCCCTCGAGGATCTCGGTCAGTGCCTTTCCGAAACAGACACACAGCAAACACCCCAGAAGCTGGCAGGACACAAGTGTGGGTTCCCGGGCTGGCTCCTTAAGAACGCATTCAGGACTGGGAAATCTGCTTTCTAGTAACAACAGGCTTCCCAAAGGGAACGCCCAGAGCCACCCTGAGAGCCCCGGGCTGCTCCATCTGGGAACAGGGTAGCTTGGGTGCCCCACAACCCCGCATCTGGGGCCCCAACGGCTCCCACTGCAGGGTCTTTTCAGCTGCTGCGAAGTCAGCCTGCACCCTCCGGCCTGCTGCAGAATCCGACTCTCTGCCAACCAGTCCTGATTTCGTATGCGTCCGACCTCCGCTGTAACACTGAACGGGATCCCTCCCCAGCAGTTAGGAAGACTTCCCCAGGCACACAGGGGGAGCCCCCGGATTATTCTGCTTACCAAATTTCCACACCGCCAATGGGGAGTGCAGCCCCTGCCTGCCCAGTGGGTACACGGGGATGCTGCTGGGGCTCACACACAGACCCTGGCCTTAGGAACAGGGAAACAGGTCTTGGAGTGAATCACGTGTCACTGCCGACCCGAGGTACCTTCCATACGGTACCTTCCATACGGTACCTTCCATACGGCCTGTTTTCTTAGCACTCTGGCCAAAGGGCCGATGAATGGAAAGACGGCACAAGAGTGCAGTACCAGCCTGGGGGTTCCTGGGCTGCTCCCCATCAGTGAGTAAGAAACCCCAGCAGCCTGGAGCCTGGCCCAGGACAGCCAGTCTCCTCCTGAGCACCACGGGGAGGGGGAGCCCCAGACACCCAGCCCTGTTCCTGACTCAGCCAGCTTCTGAAGAGAAAGGAGCAACAGGCCCAGCTCACACACCAGGGCGCTGGCGGAGGAGGAAGCGGCAGCTCCAGGGCGCCCCCCTGAGGACCTCCCTGTCGCTGAAGGAGCCCCCAGAACAAGGCCACCTACTCCAGAGCAGCTGCTGCCAGCACCTGCCACCCCGACACCCCCACTTCGTTTCTTGTTCCAAATGAAAGCGATGATTTCTCGTTTCTCCTATTGCTTTAAAAACCAGCAAATGTTGGGCCAGGGATTTAGCTCAGTGGTTTCGCCGCCTGCTGCGCAAGCGCAAGAGGACCCGAGTTCGATCCCTGGTACCAAAAAAACACAAAAACAAAACCCCAGCAATTGTATTGAATCCCCCCAAAATGTGCAGCTGGGGGCGGGGGCAGGCCCAGGGGCAAAGCGGGAGGTGAAGATGATTAACATATGTGATAGGCCTGGGGCATCTGCCAATCCGGCCGAATGAATGAAACCTGCTCATCTGTTAAAAAAATCTCAACTAAACCTGAAAAACTTAAGACAAAATGGGACTTCTCATTCATGTTTTAAACGTGTACTGAGCACCCACTCTCTGCCAAGTACTACACTCAGGGCGAGGGTCACAGGGGCGAAAAAACAGACATGGTCCCCGTGTGCCCTTGTGGAATTTGTGCACAGCGGGCAGGGGCAGATCTGAACCGAGGAAAGCTCAGTGACAGCTGGCCCACCTGTAGCACAGGAGGTCCCGACTACCTAGGCCAGGCCTGGTCAATCCCCGAGGGCACAAGGAGCCCATCTCAGGAGCCCAGGAAGCAATCACACCCGGGGGAACGACGACTCAGAGACCCCTGCACTGTGAACATGGCGTGGTGCACCCCCAGCCCGAGGCTGAGCTTGAGGTTCACGCCTGATCACTAGGCATCCTTCTGGGTTTTTTGTTGTTGTCATTATTTTTTGGTACCGGATATCAAACTCAGGACTTGTGCTTGCTTGCAAGGCAGGCGGCGGAACCACTGAGCTAAACCCCCGGCCCCAGGCGTCCTTCTGAGAATAGTCTCTCCAAGCCAACCTGAGAGCTCACAAATGTGTATCTGGAGAAAATCAATTCAATTAAAACCAACTATCTTATTAAAGATCTGAGCCACTACAATAAACAAAACAAAAAACGGTGTCTTCTTCCACCCGCCCCAAGGGCCCAGGAGTCACTGTGGCCCCAGCGGATCACACCCCTTCTGCCACACAGCTAGCGAGTCCTCCCTCCCAGCCCTGGCCCCCGCAGAACAGAGACCCCATTTAGGGGCTGCCAGCACTGCTGTGGTAAGGAAAGCTGCCCTGCTGGTTTCCCAAGGGAGCCACACCGGCTGCGGCATCAGGGCCTGGAGGGGTCCCCTATCCCCAACCACTGGCTGCCCGCATTCCGAAGAGGAAATCGGCCACCTCGGGACACACGCCAGTCTCCAGGACAAAGCCACCTTCTCTCATGTGAGAAATCCAAAGTATAAGTAAATTAGGAAGCAGAGAGATAGATCCTTTCCAAACAGGAGAGGGTCGGAGAGACTGAGGGTGAGGGAAGGCAGGTGGACATAAAAAGAATGAAGATGTGTTATGTACAAGTACCAACTCCATGCAAGGAATGTGATCACTGTGTACTACAAACGTGGATGAATAAAAATTAAAACATTTTAAAATCACCAGCTTTGGGCCAGCGTGGCAGGAAGGGGCAGGCAGTAACTTCTGAGCCCAAACCCTGAGGACCCAGGCTGGGGGACGCACAGCCCAGGGGCCACCCCAGCAGGAGGAAGCTGCGGCTGGCTGCATTTGCAACTCAATAAACCCGACTGAGCTCACCGGCTAGGATGGAGGGCATTTCCCTTCAGGAAGTTACGGTTCTTGCCCAGGACATTGTTATTTACAAGCGCCCCACCAGGAGCCCTTCGGTTCAGGTAGGGATCAAACGAAAGGAACTGTAAATTTGGGGGTTTTAAATGTTTGTTTATTTACTTTCCGTAGTAATAAACCCGAGGCCCCTACAGTGAGTTATACTCCAGCCCTTTTATTAAAATATCGAGACAAGGCTGAGCTAAATCACTAGTAACCTGAGCTGGGCTCGAATTTTCAAGGCTCCTGCCTCGGCCTCCCAGGCCTCCCAGTGACAGGATCACAGGCGTGCACCAGGACCACCACACCCAGCTCGCAGCTTTATAGTTATTACTATTATTTTAGAGCTGCTTGGAGAGGTTTTCAAAGCCCTAGCCTCAGTGCTGGGGCGGGTGCCGGGGTACCTGCCACCGTTACCGGATCGCGCTTCTCATGGTCCGAGGGGCAGCAGGCACTTCTAGGCCCCAGCGCCCCAGATCGCTGTATTAAAGCAACCTCAAGGCTTTGAGGCGTCGTGCTCAGGGAGGGCGGGCGTCATCTTTCATCTCCTCCTTCTGGGGGAAAGGGGGGCTAACTGGCTTCCTGGCAGGATCGAAACGAAAGACCGCCCCGGCCCCGGCCCTCTTTGGGTTCCAGAAGGCAGATGTCTGGGTGGGAAGGACAGAGCCAGGCGCCACCTTCATCCCACTGAGGCTACAGAGCCAAAGGTGCTGGAGCGGGGAGAAGGTCCCAGACAGCGCACGCACCACCAGTGCTCTGGCGCTCTGGGCTCTGGACAGAAGCCACCCACTCTTCCCAGCTCGGGCACCCAATCCAAAGAGGGGGAACAGCCCGGAACCTGGCCTCCCTCTGCGGGAAAGGGGTAAGGACCGGGCGGGGCTGCGGTGTGAGGAAGGAGGAGCTGCCACAGTCACCCACGGGGAGGGGACCCCGTGAGGGCGATCTGGTAACAAAGGGCCCAGAGGAGGCCTGGGAGCCACCTTAGGAAAACACAGGAGAGCCGGCCTCCGAGGCCCGAACGACAACCCAATTACATTCCCAGGCACCTCCGAGGGGTTCCCACACTGCTATTTTTAAAACTGACAAGAATCGGGCTTGTCCAAGTGTCAGCCTGGAGTTACAGACCCGGGGTTTGCACGGGCTCGCCCCGACTAGCTGGTGCCCAACCCCAAGAGTGCTGTGCCCGCCCCAGCCTCGCCAGGTGCTTTGTTATTCTGTGCTTCCTCTTAGCTGGGGACCGGGAGGAGAGGCCTGGGGCCACTGTGTTCCACCTCAAAGAACGCTAGCCTCTGGGTTCCACAGCAGACCCTGTGGCCCTCAGTAAGAACGGGGGCCAGATCTTCCCCAGAGCCAGCCGGCGGGATCCTCCCAAGGCACGAAGCCCCGTGAGGAGGGGAAACTCGGTAGATGGGAGTTATCACCTATGAAGTACCCCAGGGCCAAAGGGGACCCTTTAGTGGACATTTCCCTGCCCCCAGGAAGCTGGATATGCGGCCCTGGCCAGACCTTCCCTGTAGAGATGCAAGGCCTGGGGTGGACCATGGCTAACGTCCAGGGCTGGATGAGGACTGGGCCCAGAGTGGCCACAGGGAGCCAGGAGACCCCAGCAGACCTGCACGGCCAGCCCCGGCCAATGAAAACCGGCCCACACCTGTCCTATAGTGGCTTCCTCCCTAAGGGACAAGCTGGAGCCGACTCTGCTCACCCCGGAAACAGGCCCAGATTGAGCAGCAGGCAAGGCAAGCCCTAGCCAGGAGGGCTGCGCATGCAGAAGCCCCAGGAAAACCTCACTCCTTTCTCAAGGCAAGGGCTCAAAAAGCAGGGGTGGAAGCAGTGCATCAAAGGAGCACTAAAAAATGCACAGGACACAACTGCTTCGAGGCTTAAAGCATCCCTGCAAGACTGCCAAGGGAGCTGCCCTCCAGGGCCACCTCAGGGCCTCCTGCGGGATACAGGACAACTAACCCTGAGGAGCCAGCTCCATGCACACCTCGGGGGCTGACCACCTCCTCAGTCGGAGAGCAAACGCACAGCTCCAGCCTGCTGCGCCCCAGGCCAAGTGCAGGAGGCTTGGGCTTCCTGTTGGGCTGCTGACCTCGACCTAGCCTCTGCCTGACAAGCTGCCACCTGCCTGCTCCAGCCAGGGCAGGGCAGGCTTCCAGGGAAGGGACAACACACTTCAACCAGGCTTCGAAAAACCCACCGGGACTCCGCCTGTGTGGAGAAACCCTCCCGTCACTGGGCCACCCAAGACACTAGGGCCGGGGCAGGAGGAAAAGATTCTGGGCTGCAAGCACCCGTTCACTTTGCTCTTCCAATACCAGAAATTGTGCTCAATCCTTTGCTAGTGAATGAAGCTCACTTAGACGGGAAAACTCTCCTGGACATTCATGCCCAAGAGCATAAAAATCCCCCTCCATCAGAATCTAAGCAAAGTGGTTTGGATTTTGTCAAAATAACCACAGCACCCTGCCAGCCCGAGTTCCCAGGATGAGAGGCACAGAGAGGGAAGGGCTTTTCCACGCAGCCTCAGCACTCGAGTCAACTGGGGCTGCTGATGATGACTGGACGACAGTGTCCCTGCTCTACTGCAGCTTCCCAGAAACACTGGGCCGGCAGGTTGCGGGCGCTATGATGCAGCCTCCTGTCTAACGATCACCGCATGCCAGGGTGTCACTCAGCCCAGACACAAGCATCGCCGCATCGCCACCGCGCCACCTAATACAGGGCTTTAGGGGCCTGGGCAGCGACAGGCTGGGCCCTGGAGGCCCAGTGTGAGGCTGCCAGTGCCGCGTGGAGTTCAGAAGGGGCTGCAGGTCCGGGTCTCTGTCTCAGGAATCTCTGCTTAATCCCCATGTAGAACGTAAACTACATCCATTAAAGTTTAACGAAGCAAAACACAAACACAGCTTCCACGCTGAGGGCAAACTTCATTCAAGGACCGGCAACCTAACGCACTAACGTGACTTATACCTAAACTATGCAATCTCGACGGTAAACAATGGATCTGGAAATAAAAAGGTGTCCAGAATCTTCTCGCCACCTCACCCGCAAAGGAGGCACAGACCACCACGGCGTCCACGGGACCCAGCAGGGGCGGCGGGGCTCCTTCTCGGAGCTCCGCCCCGGTGCCCCTCGCCCCGGCCCCTCCCGCCCCGGGCTCGGCTTGGACCTGAGGTCCCCAGGGCGAGCGTGCGCGGCGAGGAAGCGGGGCGATCCGACTCGGGCCGCGGGACCCAACAGGCCCAGGCCAGGCTGCTGCTTCCCACCGAAGTAATTAGCGTCTTAGGCCAATTTGTGCTCGGTGCAAATGACGGGGTGAGTCCGACCGCTCTCACAAAGCCAGGCGCCCGCACCGCAATCCTGCTAAGCCCGTGCGGACCGCAGGGCGCAGGAGGGCCCCACGGGCTCCCGAGACCTCGGAACCCCGGGGACCCCAACCCTGGCGGACCGGGCTGCACGGACGGGCGCCGCACCGGCCCCGGCCAGGCTACCCCGGGCCCGCACCCTGGGGCCGCAGCCTCGCGCGCGCACAGACGCGGCCCTCGCCGAGGCGCCCGCCTGCCGGGTCCCCCAGGGCCGCCCGTGCCCCGCGCCCCGACCCCGACCCCGCCGCGCCCCCCGGCCCGACCTGTCGTCGACGTGCAGGCTCGGCGAGCACTTGATGGCCAGCCACGTCTTCCAGTGGACGTGCCGCACCTTGTACACCTGCCCGAAGCCGCCTGAGCCGACCTTCTCCCAGCCCGCGAACTCGCCCGCGTCGAAGGTGCGCAGGAGCCCCAGGGCCCAGGGACCCCCGCCGTCGCCCGCCATCGCGCGCGCCTCGCCCCGCGGCTGCCGGGAGCCCAGGTGCGCCCGCCCCGCCCTCTGACGCCACTTCCGCCGCGCGCCCCGCCCCCGCCGGCCCCGCCCCGCCTCGGGAGCTCGCGCCAGGTGGGAGCGGAGCGCAGGTGGGCGCGGCGCCGGGACGGGGCCGCTCGCCTCGGGGCACGTGACCGCGGCTCCCTTGCGGTTGGACCGAGCCACTCACTTTGCCCGGTTCTGCCGGGGCTCTCGGTCAGCGAAGCTTTGCAAAGAAAACCCCGGGATTTCAGGACCAGGGAGGACGTGGCCCTCGCTGCATCCGCGATCTCACTGTCCGCATCTCTCCTCCCCCGCGTGCCCCAGGTCGCACAGGGCGGCGTGTCCCCTGTGACGCGCACCCCGGCCATCGCGTGCCTCTCCTCCACTTCTAAAGGGTTTTTTTTAATTTCGAAAATGTCGTGTTTACATTCAGGAATTTCACAGCACGCCAGCAAATCCAAAGTCCACTTCAAATGTGGAGGGCGGCGGTTGTCCTTCCTAGGCCACGGCGACTCGGTTCGGGGCGAGCAGGTAGCTTGAAAAGGAAAGACATTTTCTCCATGTTTAGGGAAAAAAAAAATTCCCAGCCCGGGGAAGGATGACAGGGTGGGAGGTGAAGTCACCCAAACCACCACGCCTCCTACAGTCACCGTGAGTGCTCCTCACCCAAGGGGGGATGGCGGCCGGGTGGGGCTTCCCAAGGCCGGGCCGGGCCTCACCCCACAGCCCCCTGCCCGCTAGGCCTCTGTCGGGGACCTCACCCCAGCCCGACAGCGCTCCTGTGGGGGTCCCAGGGAGACCAGGCAGCCCCGTCCTTTCCCACCTGATCTTGACATTAAAATCGCTCTCTCCGCCGAGGAGAGCAAATGGTTATCTTCAATTTGTTTGGAGTAAAAGTAACCCACATTTAACCCAGACAGGGAGAATAATTGGACTGGTGAATGTATAGATGACTTGAAAATAAATACAGTCATTATTTTGGTGGGAAAAACGAATTGACGAGCAAATGAGTCATGTGCCCCATTTCCGGGGTTCAGCGGGAGGAGGTGCCTTTCTCCCCAAAGCTCCGGGGAGGCGGGCGGCCAGGGTGACTAACAGCTCACAGCAGTCAAGTAATAAAACGCTCCAATTTCGTTTATTTAATCATCTGGGCGCTTCACTCCACAAATATTTACCGAGTGTCTGCTACCAGTTCAGCATGGCCCACCCGGGTCCTGCAGCCGGAGCTGGCCCCAGCTGGTGTAGACGGGGACAAAGCTCACCTCGGGCCTGGCTGTTCTGAGAGGCTCTCTGCTAATCCACAAAAGGGAAATACAATCCCTCAGAGGAATCCCGAAGGCGGCCCTGGCCCCTGGCGCTGCGGGACAGTGCCTGTTATTCACAGTAGTTCTCTTGACATTTCCAAGAGAAAAGTAAAGTTTGCAGCCAGGTGTGGCAGTGCACTTGTCATCCCAGCACTCTGGAAGGCTGAGGGTCGAAAGTTTGAGCCCAACCTGGGTAACTTAGCGATCTAGGGAGACACTGTGTGAAAATAAAAAATAAAAAAGGGCCAAGGATGGAGCTCAGTGTGAAGGCCCTGGATTCAGTCCCTGGTAGTGCCAAAAAGTAAATATATTGCAGGTCCACTAGGAGTGAGCCAGTCCGAAGGACAATAGGAAGTGGGTCATTGTGCCAGCTGAGCACTGGGGCTTGGGAGGTGGCTGTCATGGTGAAGATTCGGGCAGCCTGAGAGGCAGCTGTGTGCCCAGTGTGGTCAGGATGAGATGTCCTGGATCCTGGGCACAAGGCAAAGCCAGAGATGCCCAGGAGGGCAAGGCCACTGGGCCCGAGCTGTCAGGCTCAGAGGCTGCGGACCGGCCGTGTAGCTGGGGTGAGGAGGGGAGCCAGGCGACAGACAGTGGGGACTGGGGCGTCACCCACATTTCAGCCTCTCCCTGCAGGCAGGCCGTGTTTCTTCTGCACCTCGTCTTTTTCTGGAGCTCCGAAGTCCGGGTTTCTCCTACGCCAGACACTCAGAGAGCTCATCTGTGGGCGACCCCAGGTCCCCAGGGTTCCCTTCTCCACGCCTGGACCTAGTAAGGCAGGCGAAGGGTCCTGCGGCAGGGGGAAGGCAGGGAAGCGGCCTCGGGCAGCAAGGGGACAGCACCGCAGCCCTCTCGCTTGGGGTGGGGCCTCGAAGGGGTGGGGCTCCCCTGAAATGCAGGGTGTGCGCATGTGCCAGGCAGCGGACACAGTGTGGTCATCGACTGCGCCTGGTGTTCTGAGCAGTCACTTTTACTTCTGTCCTCCTTGGGGTCCTCAGAGCCGTCGCTGGCCCTGCAGCCCAGCAGCTCAGTTCCTCTAGGAGCCCTCGGGCGGCCATGTCCCTGGGCCTCAGGAGGAGGCAGCGCCTCAGGGGTCACCCCTCGCACCCTGGCTCCCCCAGCCTTCTTCCTGGCTCCCTGCTCTGGCGCAGCAGCGCCTGCCTCAACTTGCAGGTCGGTCCTGGGAATTTGCCGCGAGTGGCAGTTCGCAGCAGGGTTCTGGCTGCCTTTATTCCAGAGAAGGAGGGGTTTGGAGAGCGATGGCACCGGGCTGGGCACCCGTGGGGGCCAGGCCCCCCAGCTGGGCTCTTCCTCCAGCACGGGCTCCGTTGACACAGACGCTCCCCGGGGCGCCGCCCCGCCGGGCCCGGTCTGCAGCCGCCTTCCCCACGGTGCGCCTGGCGGCAGCTCCTGACCTGCACCGGAGACGCCGCAGGCCTGGGGGACTCGGGGTCTGGCAGGCGGGTGCAGTAATGTTCCCTTCCTCCTCCTCGCACCCTCTTCCCCTCCGAGCCGTCCTCGCCCGGGCCCCCAAAGCCCCCATCCAGACGCCCTGCACCTCTTCGGCTCCCCCAGTCAGCCCAAGAGGCCCCGGCAGCTCCCCATCCCCCAATCTAACAGTGTCTGCCTGGGAGATGGGCTGGGATTTTCACCCCCAAGCTGATTCCTTCCAGCACCCCCACAACGTCTGTACGACTGAGCCCCGAGTCCGAAGCGCTGAGCTGGCAGCTCCTGCCCGCCCCCCCGCCATGGGTTCGAGGAGAAGTCAGGAGAACCAGCCCTGGGACGGACAGAGAGAGCGCCCCTCCTCCAGGGGCCACTCTAGCCTCGGCTGCGGTCTCCACTGCTCTGGGTCCTCCAGCTCCTCCCTCGGGTCATCCACAAGAGGGAGCAGGGCCTTTGCACAGGCCGCGCTGTCTGCCTGGAAGGCTCTGTCCTCCTGCTCTCCCCCGCGGTCGGCCCCTTCTCTGCTCCTCGGCCTGATGTCCGTCGGTTACAACCTTGATGGACGATGGTGCCTAGCTCCTCCACCATAGGCTCCTGCAGCCCCTGCCTTCCTGCTCCTAAGCGGAGGCCCCGCGTGGGCTGCCTCCTGAGCGCCCCCACAGCGCGCGGGCTGCACTGCAAGGGAGGCCGCCGTCCCGGCCCTAGACCCCCTCTGCGGGCCGCACTGTTGGGGCCTGGTACCGGTACGGAGCCGAGGGCGACCCAGAGGCCCCTTGGTTAAGTCCTTGGGACCAAACTGCTTTAAAACACAGGTACAGAAAGCCCTCAAAAGGCAAAACACCGGAATTCTCATACACCCAGTAATTCTGCTCTGAGGAGTGTGCCCCAAAGTGCCCAGGAGGTCTGGGCACATGCCTGTCATCCCAGCACTCGGGAGGCTGAGGCAGGAGGATCGCTGAGTTCGAGGGCAGTCTCACATAGGGAGACGCTGTCTCAAAAATGAAAAGCAAAGCATTGAAAACAGGTATGCGAACAACACTGGCAGGGCACTGTTCCTACAGCAGTATTCAGAACAGCCAAAGGGGGGCCGGCTGGTTGGATGGTGGGAGGGCAGATGTGGCTGGGGTGAATCGCCTGATGAGGACAGTGCCCCACCTCTGAACGCAGGGGACTGGGGGACACCCCAGGTCTAAACCCTAACAGATGTACACTGTTGTGAATGCGCAAAATGGACTGTACATTTCTAAATACTTGGTTTATGTTATGTGAACGTTGACCTCAAGTTAAAATTGTTTCCCATCCTAACCACCTTGTGGCTTTTAAAAAAACAATACAAAGAAATTGAAGGAAAAATATCACCATCAAATACTTAGGGGACAGTTGCACATGTTGGGGACTGCACCACGACTCCTACCCTGACGGGCTGACTGCCACCCCACCCTGCTGCTCATTCACGATTGCTCTTCGGTCACAGCGGAATGTAGCCCAGTGCAGGAGGTGCCTCACCTGGCAGGCAGTTCCCATGGTTCTGACCAGGCTGTGCTGAGCTCAATTAATCGTCAAGGTAAGACTTTTTTAGGTTAATTTGTGTTTTTGTTTTGGGGGGGATTTTTTGGTACCAGGGATTGAACTCAGGTCCTTGTGCTTTCGAGGCAGGCGGCGGAACCACTGAGCTAAGTACCCGGCCCTAATTTGTATTTTTATGAGTCCATGTCTGCACATTCGTTCCTGTTTTCATCCCTCCCACCACTTCATGCCCTTTGCATTTGAGAAAGATCCATCTCCCCACTTCCTATCATCTATCTTGCATTTTATTCCTTAATTACACTTTGGGTTTCTCATATAAGAGAAACCATGCGATGTTTAAGCTTGTGTATCTGATTTACTTCACTGAGCATCGTGGTCTCAAGGTGCATCCATTTCCCTACAAATGACCCAGGTTTATCCTTCTTCACGGCACAGTAGTACTCCCGGGTGTGTAAATACCACATTTTCCTTATCCATTCATCTGTTGATCCACTCCCAAGATGCAGCTGTCCCGACTTGCCATCTCCCAGGCTTGTGCCCTGTGCTCTCATAAAGAAACAGGCAGGACAGGGGTGGTGGGGGAGGCCTGAGCCAGCTTTGGGGTCCTGGGGGGCGGAAAGTAGAGTCTAGCGAGGGGCAGTGCTGGGATGGTGCCTGGGTCTGGGGAGGGAGGCGGGAGATGACACAGGCACAACCCTGGTGCCCTGCATGCACCCTGGGGAGCACAG